ATAGAATATAGTAATACCCTACCTAGGATTTAGGAATATATATGTGCTTGTGTGACATTGTTTGTGTGATATTATACCCTTGCTTGTGATGATGATATTTGCTTCTCATTAGCTGTGCCAGAACAATTGTAAGATCTTGAAGTGCTTATACAATAAATGTAGTTCAGGCAAAGCAGAGAACTGCTATTCTGAGTGTTATTCACTTGCAGACCTCTAAGTGAAGCCAGAAGGCCCACTCAGTAGTGCTCACGACAGGTGACATTGTACACTCTTCCTGCACACCTGAAGAGGGGCCCCCACGAAAGGAACATAGGCAATACTGGAGCCCATGGAGCACTTCACAACCACATTCAGGGGCTAACACATGAAGAGTCAGAGTGTATCTTCTGTACAGGGGATGACGGAAGGTGCAGACAGTTCAGGATAGTTTCTACAGCTGGGCGAATACAATGCACAGAAGCTGAGAAAGCAAGTTTGAGTTTTCTTTCCACATGGCTTGGATGTCCCATTTACCCTCTACATTCTTCCTATTATCCATATAGGGCATGGCAGATAGGGGCTGAGAGAATGGGAGCTTGGAAGTGGTTTGAGATTGCTTCAGTTCAGCTTCACACAAACTTACACCAACACCAAAACCAATGCCAGTTAAAAAATACACACAATTCCTCTGCACTAGGAAACTTATCAAAAATATTAAGCAATTAAAATCACAAAGGAAAAAACATCAATAATTTCATAAGATAAAGCTTCCATGACAAAATCAAAACAAATAATAAGGTTGTCTTGTGGTGAGTCCACAATATTACACAGTAATGAATAGATGACAGATCTATTATTAGACTAATCCACTAATACATCCACATCCACATAGAGAACCCATTTAGCAGAGCTGTGGGAACACTTATCTTTTGGAAAAGTTGCTGTGAAATCTGTAAAAACCTTGTGAAGCCATGATTCTTCCCTTCAAAATGGGTTTCAGTCCCAAAATGCTTCAACAGTGTAACTTCTGTACGGGCAATGGAATGACCTTCCATGAGGCCTTAGAGCAAAAACATTTACTCTTTGTTCTAATACCCAAATTTACATGAAGTCAATCCCCCACAATTACCTTTGCTAACAGGTCTGGGCATATGTGAGTCCAGGGTTCAGGGACATTTAGTGGTTTTATCTAATGGTTTGAAATGTCAGGTATTCCTTCAATGCTGGCCTTTTCTGGGTGGTGTCACCTGTTCTAGAGTGCTGCTTCGTCAGGTTCTACCTGCTTTTTTGTGATTCTGAAATGCATATTGATCATTGGTTTTGCCTATGGAAATTTTAATCATGTCTGTAAAAACTAAAAAAAGAAAGGGTAAAGATTGCCCCTTCTTTTTCTCTCTGCTTTTTCACCCAAAGGAATAAAGAACATGTAGAGGTAATAAACTTGAATTAATTCATTTACCCTCAGATCTTCAGTTGCCATAGACATCCTGTGCTGAGCCCTGAGGGGGTGCTGAGGCTAGTACTCAAGGGCCCCCAATATGTCTGAGCAAGATATATACAGATGTGATAAAAATGAACACTCCACTACACAAGCAACTTGTATATATTTTACACACACTGAATGGTAAATCAAAACATGTAAAGAATATAAGTTTACAAATGAAAGAAATGAAATTTCAAAAAGTCAAGTGGTTAATAAACAGTGTGGGTAAAGGAAGAATAAAAATTGTTTGGCAATTAAAATGTCAGATTTAAAGTTTAAAAAAATTTTGTTCAGGGCCTAGAGAGTTTATCAATTAAGTGTACTTGTTGCTCTTGCAACAATAGAGCCTCGGCACCCATTTCAGATAGCTCACAACTACTTGTAACTACAATTTCAGGGGATCTGATACCTTCTTCTGGCTTGATGGCTCATGCATGCATTTGTACCTCCAACATCTAATAAATAAATCTAAAAAAAACTAAAGTATTTGAGAATGTCCACATTAACTAGGCATTTAATGATAATGTGCATGACATAGTTCAAAAGTTTGATGTTATATGCAGAAACTATATCGAAAAACAGAAAAATTCTAGACATACAAAAAATTTCATATTTTATGTTTTTCTGTTTTCCCAATTTTCTGTGACCATAATGGTAACACTGAAAGCAGATGAATCTGAGGCCCTGCCGTGCTGTGACATCTCTCGGACTGGCAGGAGCATGAGTATACTGCAGCACTGCCCAACCATGTAAGGACCTACCAGAACATTCATTCTTTTAAGATTTTTGTGTGTGAGGTGTATGTGGAGACCAGAAGAATGTGTCAGATAAGAGTATGTCAATGTGGTTGTGAGCTACCTGACTTGGGTGCCAGGAACCAAAGTCAGGTCCTCTAAAAAGGGAGCAAGAGCTCTTAACCAATGAGCCATTTCCCCAGGCCCCTAGAGTCTTAAGATTTTTAATGTGAGCAAAGCATATAGTATAGTAAAACAATGAATCTGTTTTACAATGTTACATGTTAAGGGCTGGAGAGAGCTCAGCTATAAAGATAGATAGATAGACAGACAGACAGACCGACCGACCGACCTGTTAAACGATTAGAATTGGTTCAGGGAGTAGACCTAACTTCAGTCCAAATCACCTTTAAGTGAGCACTGCAGAAGTCATGCATGGTTCACAGTCTCCAGTGAGCATGAACAAGATAATACTTTACTTATTTTGTTGGTGGCAGTGCTGGGTCTTGTATATGCTAAAGGCCCTCTACCACTGGCAGCTACCCACATTTTCCAGTCTTTTAAAAACTATTAGTCGAAGAGAAGAAACATATAGCCAAAAACTTTGGGTCATTACCAAAAATTACATGAGGCATAGTAATTATAATCTCACCTCAGTCCATTTTATGCCACATAAACCAACCTATTAGACAACAAAGACAAAAAAAAAAAAAGCAGCTTATTTTCTACTTTAGTCTTATTTGGGGGATTTTGATCCTAATGCTAGAAAATCCTTCTTTTGGTCTTGCTACTTTAGATTTCAATTTCCATGTATGAGTATTATCTATCCTGCATGCAAGTATGTACACCACGTGTGCCCATGGAGATCAGAAAAGAGAGCTGGATCCCCTGAATTGGAGTAAAGAGATGAATATAGGATACTCTAGTGACTTGATACTGTAGAAAATGACCACCAAAGCAAGTGGCACTTTCAGCAGGTGTGGCCTTGCTGGAGTAGGTGTAGTTTTGTTGGAGGAAGTCCATCACTAAGGAGGTAGGCTTTGAGTTTATTTTTTAGGCTTTGAGGTCTTATACATGCTAAAGATACCACCTAGTCTCAGTTCACTTCTTGTTGCCTCCAAGTCAAGATGCAGGACACTCAGCTACTTCTCAAGCACTGTGTATGCCTGCATGCCATCATGATGCCCCATGATGATAATGGACTAAACTTCTGAAAATGTAAGCCACCCCAATTAAATGATTTTTTTCCTTTGTAAAACCATGGTCATGGCATCTCATCACAACAATAAAAATCCTATGATAGCTACTGTGTGAATGCTTGTGAATATTAGCTAAATTATATAAAGACTGTTTATGTTGTCTATATTGTGAAATAGTATTTGTCTAACTATGTAAAGATGTGTTACATTTGTTTAGCTTGCCTTCCCAAGGCAGCTGATTGGTCTAATAAAAAGCTAAATGGCCAATAGCTAGGCAGAAGGAATAGGTGGGACTTCAGGGAAGAGAGAGAAAGTAGGAGGAGGAATCGAGGCTTGAGAGAGATAGAGGGGAAAAGGGAAACATGAGGGAGATACCAGGGGCTGGTCAGTCAGTTATGGAAGCAGTAAAGCAAGGCATACAGAATAAAAGGTAAAAAGCCCAGAGGCAAAACATAAATGAATAGAAACAGGTTAAACTAAGTTATATGTGTTAGTGGGCCAAGCAAAAACTAAAGGACAAGCATTCATAATTAATAAGTCTCCATGTTTTTATTTGGGAGCTGGCTGGCAGTCAAAAGAAAAATCCAGCTACAGGGGCTGAGAATCAAACCCTGATCCTCCGCAAGAGCAACAAGTGCTCTTGAGTACTCAACCATCTCTCAAGTTCTTAGAGATAATTGGAAATAGCTTAAACCAAAACAGGGCAGAGGATTTTCAGGCCTCTCTACTGTAGGCGGCTGTTACTTCTCAATGAACTTTTTCTTGCCTTTAAAAAACAAAAATAGCAAACTATTGTTTTTGAGTTTGGGATGTAGCTCAATGGTAGAGCACCAGCTCAGAATGGGCACCATGGGGAGTGGGTGGGAAGCACAACAGATTTTAGATAATGAACATACCACTTTAATATTGCCATCCACATTTCCCGAAGTTCCACACACACTCTTGGGCTGAGGTGGTCTTTTTATTTTCCTCTGCCCTTCTACCCTAGTCTCTCAGCTTGAAAACATGGGATTCATTCTTCTATCAACAGATACATGCATTCCTCCAAGCTTTGTCAAATGCCTCCTCCTGTACACCCTTTGACAGACCCAAGCGATAACCTACCATTTGGACTATGGAATCACAGCAGCAGGTAGAATGCTGTGATCTGGTTCTTCCCAGGTCAAAGTTGAGAGCTTTACGAATCATTCAGGATGCTGAAGAGCAGTAGCAAGCCAAGCCAGGCCTTCAGTGGCCCAAGAGCAGCTACGTCTCTAACATCACACCCGGCCACACCCATTTTCTTTATCGTTGTTGTCATTCTTCAGGACTTGGATGCCTTCCTCCAGGAAATCTTTCCTGCTCACATCAGCAATTGCTCTCCATTCACTGAGCCGTCTCCAGGTGCTTGTCCTTCATACTGCTGATAGTTCTAGCACGTCTGCATATAGCATTTGGGGTCTTTCTTGTCATATACTTACTTTAGCACTGCACTATCTCTTCACTCTGGTGCAGCTTATACATATCTAAGACTACTGTGTTTCCCCCCATGCTCAGGTCTCAAAAACTTCTCTGTAGAATACCATTTCACACCATGGCAACTATTTTAAAAACAAGACATACTAATTCACCTAAGTTTTTATTTATTGGCTCTAGGAAGAATTTGAATGAAAAGGAGCCTGAATGGCAGGTACAGAACGTACTGTAACAGCACCAGAGAGGCCCAGCCTCTCTCCTCTACAGAGCCTCCACGTTGATACATACATGTGACTTTAGGAACAAAACCACACAGTCCAGGACAAAGAGGAGCCCTTGAGGAAAACAGTTTAAAGTGACTTTTCCAATTGACCATACCTTTTCATATATTTAAATTCAAAGAACTGATACATTCAGAGGCCCAATGTTTGGCATAGAATAAAATCATGTTCATTTATTTTTTTCTGCATCTTAGAAGGCATAAAATTAAATATGTTGAATGTAATAAATTCATCCATACAAGTGCAAGTCTCCAGCTATAGTGCATTTTATGGCAGATTTATTACTTAAAAATGTACCAGTAAATCAAAAAAGAAAGGCTATGCACGTTTAACTTTTATTAAAGTGTATGTAGGAGGTCTTCAGAAATCAAATATGAGCATGAAGATATGGCCAAACATAAAATCTATCAAATTCAGTGAAAAGTTGCTGACTTTAAATAGCAGTTGTAAGAATGACCAATATATATCCTTTGTTAACAACCTCTCACTCTACAGTTAAAAAAAAAGATAAACATTAAGTAAACATTCTTTCCTAAGGTAGTTTCCCTTATAGATCAGTGATTTATCCATTTCTTTGTATACACAAATTTGTTGAACATACCAATCAGTGGTTCTCACAATTGAAAAATAAAAGCACAAAAAAGTTTACACTCTTGTACAGGTAAATCAAAGATCACCTTGAATTAAACTGGATCTCCTTAAGGGCATAGTATAGTTTCAGTTTCATTACCTATTACATAATTAGTTTCTTACATACAAATATTGACATATTTGGCTTGTGCTTCCGAAGCCTTTGTGTCTATGAAATCCATATCAATGCAGCTCATAATTGAAAGTCACTGGGGAGGTCTTTGCTGCTGCTGGGTTTGCCATGGTCATGTGTTAGAGTCTCTTCAGCACGCACTGTGGTCCTGCATACCTGGGAGGCATCATCAATGTCTGGATCTAAGCCTTCAGGACAGGGAAGTTTCAGTAGCTCTTCTCGGAGCTGAGCAGTGTGGCGCTACAAGGAGAAAATCGATACTATCAGAAGTACAATCACTGTGATTCTAGCATATCCCTGAGACAAGAACATGGTTTTAGCATACCCCAGTAACAAATGTATAAATATTTACTTAGTGTCTTCTTATGCTAGCCTGTGGCATCATACATTTAAAATACACAATAAACAAAGCTTAAAAATACTGAACTTTAATGCTGGAGAGATGGCTCAGCAGTTAAGAGCACTGGCTTCTTTCCCAGAGGACCTGGGTTCAATTCCTGGCACCCGCATGGTACCTCCCACCTGTCTGTAATTCCAGTTCCAGGGTTTCTGACACCCTCACATAGACATACATGCAAGTAAAATACCAATGCATGTAAAATAAAAACAAATTATATAATTTAAAATAAACGATACCTAAACTCAAAATTAAGTCCTGATGCTGAAAAGCCTGAGTAACATTCTGTACAGGTACAGAAAATCACCACCTCCTAAAAAAGTAGTATTATTTCCACAGAACCTCATGTGTCCCAACCCTGGCCACAGGAGTTGGCACCACTAATGACTTATAAACATCTATAGTTTGATATGTTTATTCTTTTAAATTAAAGACAGTATTCCTTGTGTTATCAACTCTGAAAAGGACAAGCAGACAAATTAAAAGAAACCCAGACTGGGGATTTATCATAATGGCACAGCAGGCTCTGGGACTGATCTCTAGCACTGTGTGGAAAAAAAAAGGGGAACACATATACACAATCACCAAACAAAGCCTTAAACTACACTAATGCACTAATGCATAGATCACATATGCACCGCTATCTTGGTGGATGAAAACAGGTATGTTCCAATCAAAGGGTCCTCTCTAAAATTTGCAAAAGTTTCCCCATCATTTCATTTAATTCAGAAGAAACACAAAAAGTAATTTTACCATAAGAATTTTAAAAATTCAAACAAATGAAAAACAATGTCTAGAGAGTAAATAATTGTATTTTCCTATCTTGCCTTAGAATGTAAGATGCTAAGAGGACGATTAGTTGCTTATGAATGAAATTACCACATTGAAGGTTTTGAAAATTACTTGCATCAATAGCTGACTTTAGAAATTAACAAGTAATTTAAAGCACACTGATTGGCTGTATGTTTATGTTTATAGGGATGTGCATGTGTGGATAGTAAGAAGACAACTTATAACAGTCAGTTTTCTCCTCCCTCTTAAGGGTCTCAGGGATCAAACTCAGGTTACCAACTTGGTGGTAAGTGCCTTTAAGGTCTGAGCAATCTGGCCAGCCCCACTACACAATTGCTTATTTGTTTTTGTTTGTTTGTTTTTGCTTTGTTTTTTTCACATCCAAACCCCTCAGTTTGCAAGCCAAGGATTTTTTTTCATTTTATTTTATTTTTCAAAAAAAGAAAATAAACTATCTTTTTTCATTTTACATGCCAATCTCAGTTCCACTCCCTCCCTTCCTTCCCTTCCCTCCCACTATACAGTTTTTAGAGAATAATCTTTACACATAAAAGATATTTTAACTTTTGTGGAGTACAAGTTCTAGTTGGAGGTGTAAAGCATAATAAAAAGGTTAGGACAATCACCCACTCTTAGTCACTTAAGAGGATTTAAAGCACATTCACATACTTGAAATTTACAAACTCTCCAGCACTGATTCCCCTTCACTGTGATAAAAACACTGACTAAGGTGGGTTGGCAAGATGGCTCAGTGGTTAAGAGCACTAACTGCTCTTCCAGAGGACCCAGGTTCAATTCCCAGCACCCACATGGTAGCTAACAGCTGTCTATAACTTCAGTTCCAGGGGATCTGACACCTTCACACTAATATACATAAAATAAAATTAAATAAATAAAAAATACTAAAAAAAAAACATTGACTAAGGAAGAAGAAAGAAAAATCTCACTATTATGAGGACTTGAAAGAGGTAGGATACTATAATAGTATGGACTCAAGTGAAAAGTACATATACTTCCTTGACTAGCATTCTTCAGCAAAAGTCTAGTTGAAAAAATAGAAATCTTCAGCAATTTGGAAATGAAGGTCTTCCAAGTCAGGGTAACTTAGAAAAATTATACAGTAGTTTAGCATAGTTTATGTTAGTCTTTTAAGCCCAACACTGGGGAGGCAGAGGAAAGCAGATCTGAGTTTGAGGGCAGCCTGGTCTACATAGTTAGATTCAGGACAGCTGTGAGTATACAGAGTGAGACCCTGTCTCAAAAACATAAATAAAAACAACCCTCAAAATAATACAGTAAAATAATTTCAGGCAAAAGCAAATGCTAAAATAACAGAACAGCTGCAGCAACAGTTTTGCAGATGTGAGCAAAGATACAGCTAAGCACCTATCCAGGAAGCATCCAACTGGTTGATCCACAGAAAGAATGGGAAGGGGGAAGTATGTAACATACACTGAAGATGGGAACAGCTGGGAGCAAGCCCCTTCTGAGGACAATACTGAAGGGGTATCCTACTAAGCACGTGAAATAGAGGAGAGGAAGGGAGCTAAGCAGTGTCTATAGATTTGAGAGAAAAGGGCAGACTGGAAATTAAATATAGAAAGCTAGAAGAACCGACCTGAAGGAAGAGACAATCTCAGTGTTTAATGAGGGCATCTAGGAAAAACCATTAGAAACACAACTCTGGAGAGGGAAACACAAGTTTCAAGAGCCACTTTTTAATGGATTAATTTTGTTTGTCAACTTCATACAGGTATGTAATGTGTTCTGAATACTCTCCCCACCCTGCCCTCCTTTATTTCCTTTCTGTCCTTATCAAAATCCATTCCATCCCAGCAGTCCCTTTCTCAGATCCATGACTTTTGGTTTTATGAGTCATCTTTATATAGTAAATGTCCAACACTAGAAGCTTAAAGACCACAAGAGTAAGAAGATAAACTGCCTCTCAGGAAAGAGGGGAAAGAAAAGAATAAATGAAAAAGTAGAAAGAGCAGTTTATGATGAACAGAAAAGGGAAACATTAGATAAGCAGTGGGTATGTTAATGAGTAATCTACAATGAGAATGTGGCAGGTCAAGGAAGAGTTCTAGAAGTGAACCTGCAGCTGAAAAGTAGATGGGGATGGGCTAGTGGGCGCGGTACAAGGAGGTAGAAGAGACCTTTGGATGCAGAGGTTCCTGTTCTTGTCTGATAGAGAACACTAAACTGTTTTCCAGTATTGAACAAAACAAAATTAGCATAGAGCAAGCTAAGTGTTCTTTCCTTAGATAGCCTTACTAGCCATGGGCAGCCTTGAATTTCTGCCCTCCTGATTGAGATGCTTAGTGCACAACAACCCCTGGCTCTAAAGTCTGTATAATATAAAATTTCAACTGTATACAAAAGTGGGAAGAATAGGAAAATAGATGCACATGTATCCAACACCTAGCTTCAACTATTACCAACTCTTGCCTAGTCTGACATCACTTTTCATTATTCTTACTTTGAAGCAAATTCCAGATACCATATGGCTTGTCTTTCAAAAATATTTCTGTACTGGAAAAAAAAATTCGCACCTAAAAAACTAGCATTCTTATTATCAGCTACTTCCTTTATTTGCTTTGTTTTGAGAGAGGGTCTCACTATATAGCACTGGCTGTCCTGGAACTCACAGTGAATCTATTGCCACTGGAAAGTACTGTGACTAAAGATGTGTGCCACCATGCTTGAACAGCTACAGCATTTCAGTGAGAATTGTAAAACAAAACCAAAAAAAGCCAACAGGAATGGAAAACACTGCATGCGGAAAGAGGGAAGATATTTGGCAGAAGATGAAGGACAGAAGAATACAATAGGTATTTGGAAGCAGCAAGATGGGTGGCTTTACAAAGAAGGAGTTCCATATATAGAAATTCTGCAAAACTACTTATTTTCCATTTCTGGGGAAGCTTAAGCTAAAAACAACTGCCTACCTCCCAAAGTGGTTATTACCAATAAGTGGCCCTCCATCTCATACCTTTGTCATCATACCAAGTAGTAAAATTATGTAAGAGGCATAAAGTAAGGCTAAAAGATTAAAGACAAAACTCATGCTCCCGCCCCAAGTCAACTTCTTTGCGCTCAGGCCCTATAAACACTTTTAATCTGAAGAATTAACAGTCCTCTGTCAAAGCTATTGCACCTCTCTACACACTTACTGTAGCAACTTGTTTCTTTGGTTCTCTTCTGCCCTTAACCTTCGGAGTCAGTGAATCACAACTCACCTTGAGAGCTGCTGCATGGTGAGACATGGTCCTGCCCACCCGCTTATCGCTGCTATACTGCTGGATGTCTGCAATCCACTCCTCACACTGGGCCATGATCTCAATTCTTTTCAAGTAAAAATGTTTGTGAATAACCTTGAGGATACAAACAACAGAACAGAGCATGTCTACACATTTTAATAGCAACGTTTGTAGCATTACAAAAATAAAATATTTTATGGTTTCACATGATCTATGTTTTATATGTTACAAATCAGAACATCAGATGGTGTACACCGAAATACTCAATTCTATAGCAGCAAAGGATATCCAACACTGCTCAGATACCATCTAAAGAGCACTGGACATGCATAAGGCAACAACATAAAGTAAATGGAAATAAAACAGTAATAGAAAAAAGATCTTCAACACACTGGCAGCAAAAAAATGAGAATTCAGGGGTTGGAGAGACGGCTCAGAATATACTGCCTTTACAAAAGACTGTGTTTAGTGACCATCACCCATGTCAGGAGGCTTACAACCACCAGTTAACTCAGGCTCCAAGTGGTTTCTCTAGGCATTTGCACTTATGTTCACACACCCCCCTCCAACCCTACAAAAAAAAAAAAAAAGTAAAGCTTTCTATTTATCTATTTATTGTGTGTATGCACATGTGCCACACCACACACAAAGGTCAAAGGCATCAGTTCTCCTTCTAGCATGTAGGTTGTATCAGGAATTAAACCTAGATAGGAAGGCTTGGTTGAAAAGGCCTGTACTCACTGTGCCAGTTAACCAAACAGCACAAGTAAGAATCAAAGACAATCATATACAAATCAAAATGAAGCCCTAGCTGTGGCACATTCTTACTCATTAAATTGTATCTTCTGGAGTTGGAGAGATGGCTCAACAGTTAAGAGCACTTGCTGCTCTTGCAGAAAAGCCGGGTTCATTTCCCAACCCACACTGAGGCTCACAATCATCCATAACTCCAGTTTCAGGGGATCTAATGCATTCTTATGACCTTTGAAAGCAGCATGAAGACAGGTGTTCTCTGTCTCCCCCCCCCATCTAAACAAAGCTTTCAATTGTATTTTCTAGTTAATTTATATATAAAATTATTTTATAGTGCTAAATTCCCTTATAGTATCTGCACATCCCATTTGGAAATTTCAAAAAATTCTACCTTGAAAACGGTTTTGATACATAAGCACTAGGAATCTCTTTCTGAGAAATTAGAAAACAGATGTGAATTTTGGTTCAGTTCCTGTATTGTCTCTGTCCTATACTGTCTAAAGCTAGATATCATTTTAAAGGCATGGGAACTGAAATAAAAAACTAGTACAATCCTATGTCATATTTAGTAGTTTTTGAAGTCGATGCTCAAGGACTCATGCCCATAACCCTAGCACTTGGAGAGGTGGAAACAGGAGGGGAAGATGTTCAAAGATCCAAAGTTCAAGACAATCCTTATCTACAAAGCAAGTTGGAGGCCAGACTGGACAGCAGAAGATCTTGCCTCAAAAACAGATTGATAAAAAAATGAAACAACAATAAAAAAAACCCTCTAATAACCAATGTAATAAAAATACCCAGGGAATTCAGGAAATAACCACGATCACATTAAGAAAGTCAGTATCCAATGGCAAGGAGTGCCAATTTTAACAAGTTAGATTCAAAAGGATGATAGAATTATTTCAAATGATATGTACTTAGTTTTTATAAATCACATTCGCCCACTGTATTCTTTGTGATTATTCAAGGGGGAGGGAATCTAATTATATATGAGTATATTTCAGTGTTTTAAATATACTTTCAGAGCTTTACAAAAATACGAAGAAATATTTTGTTCCTAATTTCTTTTCATGCAGAGCACACACAAATGTAACCTCTACCTGTACACAGCAACACATCATACCTGCCAGAATGCCTGTACTTCCTCTCACCACACCGTTCCCACACCCCATGCCCACATTTGTGATTAAACCCTGGGACTCACACATACAACCAAAGTGTTCTACCACTAAATTACATCTCCAGTCCTCATCCTAACTTGCTTGATAAGCTAATTCTGTCGACCTGTGAACTTTACATAAGTGGAATAATAGGCAGAGCTCAAAGAAAACAAAAATCAAAATTCAGCTTTATATATCATTGAATTTGGAATCCGTGTTACAAAAAATAAAGAAGTTTTAATAGCTCAGTACCCAGGGTGTTGAACAATTCATGTATGATGCAAAGGAAAAGAATACAGGTCCTCTAAGAGAATTGTATTTATCCTTGATTTTTCTCAATAAGTTGGCAGATTGCCTAATAACAGGTGACGGGCAGTGCACAAGTAATTATCATAATTTGAATAACTTGAGCCGAATTAACAAATAGATTATGTCTAAGGGCTTGTATATGAGTATACACAGATATGTGCATTCACAATCAATCTCCTATAACATTAGAACTACTATCTTCTTTAGCCTTTCAGGTAAAAGGCAAACCTCTGGATATGTGTGCACACTGACAGGTAAGCACGCGTAGTAGTAACAAAAGAAGGAATGTTCCTTTTACATTCCTCCAGATCACGCTCATGAGCTCTAACTGAATAACAGGAATAAAACTTACAGGGTTCAGTGTTTAAGAATAATATTGCCAGGCAGTAGTGGCGCACGCCTTTAATCCCAACACTCGGGAGGCAGAGGCAGGTGGATCTCTGTGAGTTCGAAGCCAGCCTGGTCTACAAAAGCTACAGAGAAACCCTGTCTCGAAAAACCAAAAGAATAATAACTGCTAAATCCTAGTAAATAAATAGTCTATTAGACCAACAATAAAATTCATTCTAAAATGCTGCAATTCCAGGAAAATCTAAGAAAATGATGAACTGCAAAAAATCGTTGAGAAAGAAAGAAATCTTAAGACACAGAGCAGACATGACGATGAGGAAAACTAGGTTCAGACAGGTATGGGGTGCTGAGTCATCAAGAAACAGAAAAGTTAAAGCCCTTGAAATGCTTCAGAGGGCATTTAGAAGCTTGATACTTTCTAATATTTTTCTTAACATTCAAACATATACATTAGTGTAAAATCAAAAAAATTTATTTCAACTGTGCGCATGGTGGTGCACACCTTTAAATCTTAGGACTTGGGAGGCAGAGGCAGGCAGATCTCTGTGAGTTTAAGGCCAGCCTGGTCTATAGAGAGTTCCAGGGCAGCCACAGTTACACAAAGAACCTCTATCTCAGGGAGGGGGACACACACACACACACACACTATTTCTATGACAGACCTAGAAATTAATTAACCTTCCTTAATAAGTAATATTACATGAATAATATTCAGTAATGACTGAATAGTTGGATAAAATGATAACTATTAAAAATAAATAGTCCTGGGCTAGAAAGATGCTTAATTGGTATCATAGCCTATTAAAAAAAACCAAACAAACAACAAACAAAAAGAGGGAAAGTGCACTGGTGCAGCTTGGAATGCCATCCTTGGAGAAGAAGAGATAGGTAGGCCCACAAATGCTCACCCAGGGAATTTAAAACCAGCTAGAGACCCTGTCTCAGAAAAAAAGAAGGCTAACACCTGGATATGAAAACCCAGAGCTGTTAGATGGGCGGTGGTGGCGCACGCCTTTAATCCCTGCACTAGGGAGGAGGCAGGTGGATCTTTGTAAGTTCGAGGCCAGCCTGGTCTACAAGACTTAATTCCAGGACAGGCTCCAAAGATACAGAGAAACCTTGTCTTAAAAAAAAAAAACAAAAAACCCAAAACTAACCAAACAAACAAACAAAAAAGCCCAGAGCTGTTTTCTTACCTTTACACACATCATGCAAAAGTAAAAGTTAAATATAAGGTTCCAAGATAAAGTACAGTGTCTTTCACAATGCATGTGGTTTAAATCTTACTAACTGCACTTTGCTATTAGCGATCTTAGGATTAATTATTAGTTATAAGTACTGTAAGCTTAGCATATATAACATTAATAAATTATTCTCAAATGTCCTTCAGCGTTTAACTTTATTCAACATACTTCTTTAAAGCATGGTGAAGGATTTCTGATTTGTTCTAGCATTGCCCATTTAACCGTTGCTTGTCGGATGTTTCCATCGTATTCTCGAGAACTCTGTGTGCCACTGGGAGTGCCTCTAGACCGTTCATATCCTGGTTCATTAAAGTAAGGCTCGGCTACTAATATAAGGGACTGGACAGAAACCAACACCTGAGGAAAGGAGGAAATTAAAAAATAGTTATTAAGAGATATTTTTGCTGCCAGTAAATTGCTATCCTGTTTGATCTTTAAGGAGTCCCTATTAGCATATTTCCACATATATCTGGCATAAAAAATAAATAAAATATTAGGGGCTGGAGATACAGCTCAGCAGTTAAATCTGCTCTTTTAGAGGACCTGAGTTTGATTTCTAGCATATATGTGAACATACATACACACAGGCATAACGTCAGCATACATTATGGTAGTTAAGTCATGAATATCAGGGTAAGCTCAAAGCCAACCAAGGCTACACAATAAATTCCAGGATGCCCTGGGTTAAGGTATGAGACCCTTGTCTTAAAAAAGAAAATTAAAAAACCTACAAAATCAAGTTAACGACACTAAAACCTCATATAATATCTATTTACTCATTTATTTAAAGTAAGTATCTAACTGTGTTGCACTGGCTGGCCTAGAACTAGCTACGTAGACCAAGCTGGCTTTGAATTCACAAAAATCATGCTGCCTCTGTCACTGCCTTAAACAATACTTAGGAATCTTCTGTTAAAATTGGCCTTACTCTTGTAGAACATTAAACCAGTCAGGCCCTACTAACAATACTCACAAAGAAAACTTAATAAGGCAACTTTAATTCTTATTTCAACAGAGGTTTGTAAAACATTACTATATGTTCTCAATGGTAAGACAGACTTATGCTTCTAAGACCACCTACATGGCCCTCGTATTTTTTTATTTACTTTCGATTTTTGAGACAGGGTCTCACTATGTACTCCTGGCCGTCCTGGAATACATTAACTATATCAGGCTGGCCTCAAACTCAGAGATCTGTCTACCTCTGTCTCCTGCTGGAATTTAAGGTGTGTGCCACAATGCCTGGCTTCACACTTGTAAAAATTTCACATTAAATAAATACCACAGATAAAACAGACACCCAAAACACCTGACCCAGCAGTGGATATGATTACAACTGATATTGAGTGTTATTATAGCCAGCATTAGTGACCAAGGGAAACATTTACACCTTAACCCGAGCAACGGGGAAATAAGATAAACACAGCTTAAAAAGTTTGTGAAATTAATTTAAACATATCAATGAAGGAGAACGATTTTCTTCTCAAATCTGATACTTCTCAGAGAGCCTTTTAGGCATGGTTAGTTCTACCATTTATTGTCTTCCAAATATATTTCCTCTCTCACTTACATGAATAGGCTATATTACTAAATTTTCTACAAAAGGAGAGCAAATTTAAGTCAAATTCTTATCACAAACCTATAATTTAAAATCTATTTTAAGAAAGTAATTTTCAGATGAGACACTGTGGCCCCAAATATAGGTTCAAAAGTACTTCCATCCAGGTGAGTGCTGCATGCCTTTAATTCCAGCACCGGAGGAGAGGCAGGCAGACCTCTGGAGTTTGAGGCCAGCCAGTGCGACCCAGTCTCTTAAACACTAAAACTGTACATTTGCACTCAAAGTATCCTATAACAACCATGACTAACTACTGTCTCTCAATTAATAAGCATTATAGTGAACACACACGATAACCATGCGACCTGTGGCTAAGTCTAAATTACTATAAAGTAATAACAACAAATGAGATCGACAGATTTTATGCACTTAACTGAATTACAGAAATGCAAACTCTGAAGATTATTCAATCTTATATATCAAATGCTCTGAAAATAAGAGCTAAACTCTTAAATTTTATGAATTCCAGGACACTAATTTTGATCATCAGGTAACTAAAAATTCTAACTATCACCACACTATAGCTGAAGAAGTGGGTAGTAACAAAAGTGTATTAAATCTGATGCACAAGACAGGAGACATACATAGCTAAATCCCCTTAATGCAGCACACTGTATTTTTAGAACTATGGAACAATTTGTTTTCAACAAGTCTAAAGTTTGTTTTATGCTCTAACTCCAGACTCTAAACTCTCCAAGAGACTACTACTATATTTGCTAGTTAGTATTTTTTTTTATTAAAATATGAAAGTTTCCATTTTCGCCCCTCCTCCCAACACCCTCCCACTCCCCCCACTCCCTCTCCTCTTCCCTCTCCATCCCTAAGAGCAGTCAGGGTTTCCTGCCCTGTGGGAAGTTCAAGTTCCTCCCTGCTCCCTCCAGGTTCAGGAAGGTGAGTATCCAAACAGACTGGATCCCAAAAATCCAGTATATGCAGAGGAAACAAGTCCCAGAGTCATTGCCAATGGCTTTTCAGAAAGACTCCGGGCCAGCCACATTCAGAGAATCCGGCCACATTCAGAGAATCTGGTTGGATCACGTGCTTGTTCAGTCCCAGTCTAACTGGCCTTGGTGAACTCTCATTAGATCCGTCCCCTTGTATCAGTGGGTGATCGCTCCCCTTGCGGCCCTGATTTCCTTTTTCATGTTCTTTCTCCTTCTGCTCCTCCTTTGGACCTTGGGGGGCTCAGTCCGGTGCTCCAATGCTCAGGACTCAGCAATTCCACTCTTGGGAATATACCCAAGAGATGCCCTATCATACTACAAAAGTATTTGTTCAACTATATTCATAGCTGCACTATTTGTAATAGCCAGAACCTGGAAACAACCTAGGTGCCCCTCAACAGAAGAATGGTTAAAGAAGGTGTGGAACATATATACATTAGAGTTTTACTCAGCGGTAAAGAACAATGACATCTTGAATTTTGCATGCAAATGGATGGAAATAGAAAACGCTTTACTGAGTGAGGTAACCCAGACCCGAAAAGAGGAATATGGTATGTACTCGCTAGTTAGCATTTTCTGCCTTTTATCTTTCTGGACCGTTTTCTATGTTTATTTTTGGTCACTAATTTCACCTGCAACATACACAGTTCTTAAGAGTGTAAGTAAATCTGTCAGATAAACTTTGTTTACTTGCAAAAAGCTTGATGTCTGAGGATTCCACTTCTCTTCAGGCCTTCCATGCCACGTGTTTAGGATGCTTAAACAAACCTGAAGGAAGAAAGACATAAACAGAATCTAAAGGAGTGGTTTGATAGCTAACTGTTCCAACTAGAAATAAAAAACACGATGCTCTCAAGTCAATGTCTATCTAACTCTGTGAAAGCCTACTTCATCTTCAGGTGTGAACAAAACCCATGTGGCATTACAATTTCTTCATAAGGAAAACTTGCCGTCTATTATATCCATGTCTGCATAAACAATATGTATCTTTTTTTGTCATCTACATAGTTCAAGTGGGTCTTCAACTAGCTTTGTAGTAGATGTTTCTGATCCTGTTGCCTCTACTGCTCTGGCATGAGGCTAACAGGGATAATCATCATACCCTGTTAATGCAGCACTGGGTATTAAAATCAAGGCTTTGGGCATGCTAAACAGGTATGTAACCAGCTGAACTATGTCACTAGCCCACCAAAACATGCATTTTAATGAAAAACAATACATTTTTTTCCTAAAAAACAAAAACTTCTGGTGCAATTTAAATTATTTGTATGTGTATATGTGAGTGCATGCATGTGTAGGTCAGGAACAACATGAAGGAGTCAGTTCTCTCCTTCCACTATGTGGGTTCAGGGAAAAAACCTTAGGTTGTTGGGATTAGCTGCAAGTACACCAAGTCATCTCACCAGCAACCACATGTATGCAGGTCCCACTGCAAAAGGGCACAGGATCAGTTGTGAGGATATCTGATGTGGGCCCTCGTGCTGGGAATCAAACAGAGGTCTTCTAGAATAGCAGTATGCCCCACCACCCCCGACAGGGTTTCTCTGTGTAGCCTTGGCTGTCCTGGAGCTTGCTCTGTAGACTAGGCTTCAGAAATCTACCTGCCTCTGCCTCCCATGTGTAAATGTGTGTCGCAATCACCTACCTGCACAGTATCCCTCTTAACCACTGAATCATCTTTCCACCAACTGTAAACTTTTTGTAAAAAAAAGTTTTATTTTAAAATTTATGTGCACACACATGCGGAGGTGACACAGAGGCCAGAATTGTCGGAATTTACATGTAGCTGGAATTTACGGGTGGCTGTTGAGTCACCTCTAAAAGGACAGGGTCTCTCTGTGGCAGAGTGCTTACTCAGCATGCATGAGGCCCTCCATCTGACCCTAGAACTACAAAACTAGTAATTCAAAAACTGTGTATTTGTGTAAGTCATTCAACAAAAACACTTAAAATGAATACTAAACCATCAGGATACTGGTGTCTCAACCCCTTATTCTCACCCACTCCGTCCTACGGAATGAATTGCTTAGGGAAATTCTTCTTTATACATTATTTGCGACCTGGTATCTATCAAGGAAAGTTAATGTGGCTACTTCAGTTTCTATTCCAGAAAACCTGTAATTTGATTTCTAAAGAATATAAATAGTGCCTCTGTTAAACTTTATGCAAAAAATCTAAAAAATTAGTTCCAATTTTATGATTATCTGATAATGAGGATGAAAGAATGACATATTACATGTTAAACTGGTTGAAAACAAGAGGGTAAAGAAAGTAAAAACTTGGAAAAGTCTTTGACTAAAAGACTATTTTTAAGAATTTACTATTCTTGGCCAAGATCAAAACACTGATGACAACTTATGCTGGAGAGGATGTGGGGTAAAGGGTACACTCCTCCACTGTTGGTAGAAGTGCAAACTGGTACATCCCCTTTGGATATCAGTATGGTAATTTCTGAGAAAGTTAGGAAAGACCCAGCAATACTACTTTTGGGTATATACCCAAAGGATGCTCAATCGTGTCACAAGGACATGTGCTCAACTATACTCAAAGCAGCATCGCTTGTCATAGCAGCCAGAACCTAGAAACAACCTAAATGCCCCTCGATTGAAAAATGCATAAAAAAAGTGGCACATTTACACAATGGAGCACTATACAGAAGAAAAAAATAATGACATCTTGAATTTTTCAGGAAAATAAAAGGAGCTAGAAGACAACATTTTGAGTGAGGTAACCCAGACACAGAAAGACAAATATCATATGTACTCAGTCATAAGGAGATTTTAGACATAAACCAAAGAAATCCAGCCTACAATTCACAATCTCAGAGAACCTAGACAATAAAGAGGACCCTAAGAGAGACATACATGGATCTAATCTACATGGGAAGTAGAAAAAGACAAGTCCTCCTGAGAAAACTGGGAGCATAAGGACCATGGGAGAGGGCAGAAAGGGGAAAGGAAGGAAGGGAAGTATAGAAAATCATACAGCTCAATAAAAACAATAAAAAAAATCCTATTCTTTCTTGGGGAGAATGGGGGTGGCTGAGAGAGTTTCTCTGTGTAACCTTGACTGTCCTGGACCTCAATCTGTAGACCAGGCTGGTCTTGAACTCAGATATCTGTCTGTTTCCGCATAAATTTGCTCTTCTCACCAAGAAGTACCTGCTTATGTGTGTGCCTAGTGCCCAGGGAGGTCAGATGACGGCATCAGGTCTTCTAGAAAGTGGCAGTGCTCCTAACTGTGAGCCACCTCCATAGCTCCTATGCATTTCCTCTTTACTTCTTGTGATGTGGGAGTCATCTCTGTGTGCTGTGATTACCATTAATGAATAAAGAAACTGCCTTGGCCTATTAACAGGGCAGAACTTAGGTAGGCAGGGTGGGGGGGGGCAGACACTGGACTGAATGTTGGAAGAAAGAAGGGCAGAGTCAGGGAGATGCCATGGAGCCTCCACTGCCAGAGTAAGACATGCCGAAACTTTAGCCGGTAAGCCATAGCCACGAGGCGTACACAGATTAATAGAAATGGGCTACATTAAGATGTAAGAGTTACTCAATAAAAAGCCAGAGCTAATGGGCCAAGCAGTGATTTTAATTAATACAGTTTCTGTGTGATTATTTTGGGGCTAAGCTAGCTGGGCGGCCAGGACAAACAAGCGGGCCCTCTCCTCAACATTTTTGTGGTGTTTAAAGCAACAAAAATCAGCATGGGATTTACTACTAGAATTCTTACAAAATGATTTCTGTTTTAAATAAAACCTTTTATTTTTAGAACTGAACCCAATGCTACGACCATGGTAAGCAAACATGATCTATCACAGACCTACTGTTTTCCAGGCCCAGAAATAATTTTTAATTATATTTGTCTTTTTTTTTTCTAGTAAGAATGAACCATCCTATTGCTAATTAAAAAAATGTGAAAATAAGTTTGAAAACACAAGTTCCTAATTCTATCCACGGACTATAAGGGGGGTTAAGGTGGAAAGATGAAGCTGTGAACTGCAAAGAGGACAGTGGTGCAGAGATAACAGCATATCTGCTGCTCAGTTGTGCTCAGGCATTCATGAAAAGATGACCAGAACTAGAGATATAGAAGCAAAGGAATTTTCCAAACCAGACACTGGTTCTACTGTACTAGGAGCAGGATAGGTTCATGGAAGGTGTGTTAATTGTAGAGTTTCACCCTTTTCTGTCTATGCAAATAGAGGAAGCTAAGAATGAAGAAAAAAGAAAACCACAACAATTTTTGTTTGAATAACAAAAAACTTTCAGATCAGTGTGGCCTTAGAAACAAAAAGACCCAATTACCTTACCTTGCCATCATTGTAAAGGTTGGGATTGAAGCGTACGCTATGACCCCCAGTTGTTTCTAGGTTCACAAGAGGAGGTGAGCTAGGGTAATCTTGAGGAAAATATACATCAAATTCAAAGCAGCCGTTTGCATAGGGTGTGTCCGCTGGTCCAGTTATCAGAACCTGGTATGTACATAAACAGAGAAACTTGTGACAATCACCTTCATCATGACCTTAGCATTATGAGACAGCCAGTGCACAAGCCTGGGCAAAGAGTGATAAAAGAACCATAAACACAGTATTAGAAAAAGATTTCTGATTAGGAATGGATTTTTACTTGCATCAAGAAAGTTTATCTGATTCTTAAACTTCTTTTAAAATGTAAAGAGCTTTTTTCCTGAGAGCTTTAAGAGTTATAATCAACAACTGAACTCAAAGCATAAAGGTATTTATCTTCTCTGAACCAGTAAAAGAGAAAAAAATAGGAGTAGGAAAAAGTACTTCAATGTATTGAGACAAAAATGGTGTAGAGGAAAACAGCAAGAGTCAATAGTCAAGTATAACAACTACTGAGCTTCTCCTGAGTCAGTTAACAGATGCAATGACACCTGCAGCACAGAGCTACATGGAGGTCATAGGCAGTAACTAACTTATTCTAGAGGTTCTAGGCTGGAAGTCTTATACATATAGCACAGTGCTCCACAGGGAAACACAAGTGTGAAGCTATAGTGTCTGTTATGCTGTAATAGCCAAACATGCAAAGTCTATGACCTTTCTACAGAAAAATTATCCAGAAAAATAAAAGCTAAGAAAAACATCTCAAAGTCAACAAATCAGTAATTTTAGCTGTCTGAATTTAGCCTATGAATTAAATCATAAATGTAAAGAATTTTTCACTATGCATCAAATATTTAGTTTTTCTTTCTTTTTTATTAACAAATATTTATTTATTATGTATACAGTATTCTGCCTGCTGCAGGTATGCCGGCACACCCAGGAGAGGGCACCAGATCTCATGACAGAGGGTTGTGAGCCACCATGTGGTTGCTGGAAATATAACTAAGGACATCTGGAAGAATAGGTAGCGAGCGCTCTTAATGGCTGAGTCATCTCTCCAGCACCCTTTACCTTTTCTTAATACAGTTTCTGCTCAGACTTTATAATTAGACAGATCACAATGTTAAAACAGAAAAGTACAAGTTATGTTGTATTGCTATGACCTTATTAATAAAATTTGAAGATATTCACAGATTTCTCATAGATGAAAGACCTTTTCTGATAAGCAGTCTATAAAACAAGAGTATGGCACCTGAGAAAACCTTTATCCTCTTAACTCCTCAGCACTGAGCCCTCTGAAACTATGATTCAAAACTATGAGAGGTCACACACAGAGAGGCGTCTCTTCTGGTATCTTCTTTGAGTCTTCACATGCTGTCTCACCTGCACATCCTGAACTTAAAACACAGCTCCTTTCCTGCCACCCTAAGTGGTCAGGAAAATTTACATTGAATCATAAAATTCAGGCTATGTCTAATGCTTTCTTTCCACGAGTACTTGAGTAGCTGAGGAAGGGTAGGGACAAAGCTGCTTTTCTACCTTCATGATGTCAAGTCGCTCCTCATCACAGCGTACAAACACACTGGAAGACGATGATAGAGGCAGTGAGGTTGAAAGCGTCACCGCTTCCTGAGCCAGACGGCGGGCTCTGGCAGCACTGTTGGCATCATTGGCATTTTTCACCTGAGACATGTAGTGGTAATTTACTTTAAAACCCAATTTTCCATCATCATCTTCAGAAACCATCTCAAATGTATCTAAAAGAAGACAGAAAACCAAAGTAGAGTACCAGTATGGAAAACAGTTGTTGTGATACAAATGTCACAAAGAAGCCTTGAGTCTCTTTTACCACCCTAATGGAACTGCTAAGGAGTGCCCCAGGGTAGGATACAGTGCCACAACACATCCCTAGCTTGCATGAGATCTTGGGATCAAGTCCCACCACTGCAGAAAGTGAAAGGAAAGTCCATCATCTTCATGCTCTGCAGATCTCCACCTGTGCTTTCATTTGTGTAGATTGTTTTAGGGCAGCTCCTGGAGTCAGGATGAGAATGTTGTGTCTATACACACAGGAACCTCAAGTCAAGGATGGTAGAGCTTTCATGTGTGTACAGAAAGTAGAAATCAGGTCACAATCACATTTTTAAACACACACACACACAGAACAATTTTTGAGGCAGCATCTCAATATGATACAGGCTATCCTTAAAATCATAATTCTTCTGCCTCTGCCACTAGTGTAGTGGAATTACAAGTGAGTGCCACTATACCTAGCTCAAGTCTAGAAATCTCTCATTAACTGCACACACTTAATCATCACTGCCAGAAGGGTGATGATAACATCATAGTAGATGAGAAATTTCAACTTACCAAACTGCAATTTCTTCATGACAGCCACATATTTTTCTTCAAGTGATTTTAATACTGACAAAGGTTTGGGTTTCATAGCCACTTTCTTTGAGTATTCACCTAGTTTTTTTTCTGTAATTTAATATTTCAAGATAAATAACATAAGTATAGGTTTAAAAGTGTTTTTATTAGCATACATGAATTATATATAACAATAGGTTTCATCCATGTATACAATAATGTATTCTGAGTCAGGTGTGGTGATGCATACCTTTAATCCCAGCGAAGTCAGGAGGCAGAGGCAGGCAGATCTCTGTGAATTTGAGCCCAGCTTGGTCTACAAAGTAAGTTCCAGGACAGCCATAGCTGTTACATAGAGAAATCCTGTCTCGGAAAAAAAAAACAAAAAACAACAACAACAAAAAAAAAACCCCAAAACAAACAATGTATTCTAATCATATTCCATTACTCTCTTGATCTCCTCCCACAAATAACTTTCCTCTTCTCAATCAGCCCTCACCCCTTCTTCTCTTTCTGTGTGGCATTAAATTGAAAAACAATCCACTTCTACATTCAAATTTTTATTACTAAATTTCTATCACATTTTTCACAACCATCTTCCTATTTTATCACTTGGGGAAACGAAATTATTTTTCTCTTTCCTAAACATAAAAATGGGCAAACCCCTCATTAACTTTTAAACAGCACAAATGAAGCAACAGACACAAAGTTACTGCTTTCTTCCAGGACTAACACATGGAACATGGAAGTTCTGCACCTTCACATATGTGGGGAATGAGAGATAAGTTGGGGTAGGGTGTATTTATGAGGCAGAGAGTGGCCTTGAACTTGTGCTAAGTACTAGGATTACAGGTAAGTGCCATTACATGCAGCAACCTCAATTTACTACTTCCTAACAAAATGATGATTTTCCATTCCATGACTTTCAATGAGAAGGGGAAAAAAAAAAGAAATTAGTATGCATGCCTTTAAGTTACTACATTTAGTATTAGCATATGTAGAAGAAATAAATTTTTATTTTATTTTTTTAGGTTTTTTTTTTTTTTGAGACAAGTCACATTATACAACCCTGGTTAGCCCAGAACTTACTACCAGCTGGCCTGAAACTCAGAGAGATTCATTTACTTTCACCTTTCAAGTGCTGGGATTAAAGACATGTGCCACCCACCACACCTGGCAGAGATAAATTATTTTACACTGAGAAGATAGTCTTAACTAAACTGACAAAGAACAAAATCTAAAAAAGAGTGAACTTGTAAGTTCAAGAACTTACCTGAAAATGGGGAAAAGGGAAAAATACATTCTGACTTGCTAGATAAAACATGGTTTGTACAAACGGGGTAAAAAAAAAAAAAAAATCGCATAAGACACTACTGGCCTTGATTGGCTTGCCGCAGACTGGTGGTGGCTGCATGGACGATCTCAGCAGTCCTCTGGATGTCTGGGACCAGAAGAGTAAGTCCTTCTGGTTCTTGATCAGGTGCATCTGGTTTGACTCCTGTTTTAACATTTTCCCTTTTAGATCTGAAAGAAAGAAAGAGAAAAGAGAAAAGAGAAAAGAGAAAAGAGAGAGAGAGAGAGAGAGAGAGAGAGAGAGAGAGAGAGACATGGAAAGAAATGCAGGCAAATTAAGTTTTAGAACTGCAAACAAACAAGTAAAATACTTTAATTCAGTAACAGTGGTTAAAAATGACAAAGGATATGTTACACTTGTCACATGTGATAAGTAAGAAGCTCAAGTCACATTCATTACTGCTTCTAATGCCATAGATTAATCCCTAGAATAACAAATAAAGTTATGGGTAGACTGTTCCTGCCTAGTTAAAAGACAAAAAAAAATAAGCATTACATAATTATCAAGGTAAACAACCAAATAAACAATTATAAGTACCCAGAGTTTTAAAAAGAAAAACCAAAAACTTATACTCTTGTAAACTAGTAAACTCTTGTCTTACAAAACTTTGGAATCAAAAACTTCCTGGCAATTAAAAAATACTACTTGTATTTCACTGAATATGCTAATTTCTGAGAACAAAAGAATTTAGTATTTCATAGTAAAGAGCAGGCCCAAAAATGGATCTCTTCCAAGATATAATAAGCAGCTGCTACACACCTCTAATACCATGTGTTATAACACTTCAAAGCATCACTCTACTTCTTTTCAGGCCCTAAAGTTATCAAATTATCAAAATAGCATGTGTCAACAGCAAGGTTTCAGTGTACAGGGCAGAGTATCAGCTCAATATAAGATTCACTAAAATCACAACTAAGTATTTTTTTCTTCTATTGCAACTCTTGACAAATATTCACTTAATAAATAACTTTATTGTTTAGATCTTCAAAATAAATTATCATTGTTAATGAAGTATAGGTTTCAAAATAAACAATATAGACAAAGATATATGAATTCTTTCTAAGGCACAATCTAAAATCTATATCACTTATTTTTCTACATGAATACCTACCAACAAAAAGACTTTACCATTATATTAAAATATTTCAGAAAGAAGGCATGGAGCTATAGAGAAGTTTTGTTGTTGTTGTTGTTGTTTTAAGACAGGGTTTCTCTGTGTAGCTCTGACTGTCCTGGAACTAGTTCTGTAGACCAAGCTGGTCTCCTCTCTAGTGCTGAGATTAAAGGTATGTGCCTGGCTGAGAATTAATTTTTAAAATCAGCAGAATGTTGAAGAAACTAACAAAATAATATGCCATCTACACACAAAAATGAACTTATCACACAGACAAACCTGCTCAAAAGTAACTCCTTGCTTAACTAGAGGGAGACAGTAAGTAGCAAACAAGCCACTCATGAGGTAAACAGCAGCAAAAAACTATAGCATTAAGGCTTATGCTCTGCACTTGGTTCTAATGTGTCAAAACCACCAGTATCCACAATTAGTCTAAATAATGGTATCTACTATCTCTCACCTGGCAGGACAACCTAACTGAAACGGTACAACGTGTCACTGGATTGTTGTCCTTACCTTCCCTCTAATTTAAGAAGCCACAGAAAGGAAACGGCTACTTTCCTTTGTCACCCAGAAAACAACTCAGCATGTGTTGGTACTGTACACCACTTCAGCATTAGCCTCAATATATGTACATGTATATAAACATTTGTGTTTACCTATAAGCAGAGAATAGGCACTGTTTTAAAGCTAAAATATCAGATAATTTTACTTCGAGAGTCAGCCAAGACTGGCCATTTCTTAATGAAAAAATGATTCTTGTAGAAAAGCTCAAATAGGCTGCCAATAGTATCTACCTAAAGTTATACCCAATTTCAAATGCTGAGGATCAAGAACAGTACAGATCTTCATTACAAAAGTCATTCTTGATTTACAAGGATTTTTCCCTCCCCAATTATAAGCATCATTAAGGTTAGAAAATAGTAAACTACTAGGACACTGGATTTTAATAAAGAATCAGGAGCTTATTTGAGAAAACATTCACATTTGTAGTAAAAATTAAATGATGTCCCTAAGCCTTAAGCAGCTCATCTACTGCATTCTCAGAAAAGATTTTAAGCTAATGTATCTTATCTCATCATGCTAAGAAGGAAGATATGAAAATTAAGTTCTTTCTTTTGTTTATTTCTACAGAAGCATATTTTCTTTTTGAGGAAACAAAGCCTTCAGTTTGGTGAGTGAACTGCATCGATGCAATTAAATGCTTTATTGTATTTACCAGTCTGACATAAAAGTTATACTGGGGAAATCACTCGTTTTTAGTTTGCACTCCTGAGACAACAATTTCATAATTGCAATTTTTGTTTGTTTGTTTCAAGATAGAGTTTCTCAATAACTATGGAACCTGACCTGGAACTCGCTCTGTAGACCATGCTGGCCTTGAACTCACAGAGATCCATCTGCCACTGCCTCCCGAGTTCTAGGATTAGAGGAGTGTGCCACCACTGCCCGGCTAAATTGCAATTTTTAAAGAAAGATTACTGACAGGCTATTGTAAGAATATTACCAGGATAGTAAGTTTTATGTTTTTTAAAACCAAAATTAAGTTTTTAAGCAGTTCAAGAATCCAGAAATTTAATAAAATTTACACCAAGTTCATAAAAACAATTATTTCACATTGAAGATAATGGTAAAATCACAAAGCAGGTTTATTTTAGACTTTTGCACAGGTTTTCAAGTAAGTTTTACTTGGATAGTTTGTCAAAAACTTACAAAAAAAAAAAAAGAAAGAAAGAAAAAAGAAAAGACTCCAAACGGTGATGGGATTTTCACATAGAGGATGGATAAGCACTGTCTGCCTATCAGTAACTGTAGCCACTAATGTCTAACAGAAGTCCTTGTCTACAAAAGCTGCAGGTTACTGTCAACCCATTATGTAGGCCCAGCTCAGGAAAAAAGGCCATACCTTAGCTCACATCCTGAAGTCTGTGTGAAAAGCTATTTGGGTTCAAGGCACCTAGCTGGAAGTAGGCCTCTGAGACTGACAATGGATCCAACATGGTAAGAGCAATCAGCGACGGCCGCTACCATGGCATCCGCTGCTCTGTGCATACGTTGAATCTGGTTGTGATCACTGCCCTGAAGAAATACGAGGAAGCAACTGAGGTTTCTACTGTCACAATGTACACATTTTCCTCTATGCTGTGAATTCCAACTGTGAAGCTAATAAAGTGAAGTTTGGCTCTGTAGATAAAATCTGAACTAGGATGTGAGCAAAATGGGCAAACCTGTCTCAAAATAAAAAGATTTAAAGAACAGAAATAAAACCAAAAAATTTCTAGGGCCAGTAAGATGGCTCAGTTGGTAAAAGTACTAGCTTGGGCCTGAAAGCCTGAGTTGCACAGTGGGGATTCAGAGGGTGTAAGGAAAGAAATGAACTAACTCTATCCAGCAAATCACCCTGACTGCTATGTTTACCATGGCGCATGCATACCCACAAACAAACACAAAATAAACAAGTGTTGCATATATTAAAAAAAAAACTCCAGACCTCAACATGATCATATTAATGGCTTCTACTAATATCACTGCCAAAATCAAGTCAGATATTACTCTACTATACTGTATCAGAATTATGTGACTTTATAATTCAGAAATAAAACATACTTCAAACAGCTATTTTCTTAGTAGTGCAAAAGGAAAACAAACTCATTTTTAATTCCCTAACTTCTGTTTCTAAGATGAAAGTCCCACAAAGTGAAATAAGCATTTAAAAGCACAGCCATGTGAAGGAGCTGCCATAAAGGTTCAGGACTATTGGAAACTAGCCAACATTAAGTTGTGAAACAATAACTACACTTACTTCTTTTCTTAGTTGTAAAGCCCTTTGCCAGAATTATAAAGAAAATTAAGGTGAAAAGTAAATAAGATGTTCATTTTAAAAAAATTACCGTAGATAACTATTTGCTTCCAGCATCTCCAGAAAGCATCAAAGTAATTGGTAAGACATGCCTACAAGTAAGGAAAGGACCTCTGTGAGATATGTCCCATGATTCAGATAAAGCCTACATTTTAAAAATATTTCTTTTTAGTTTTACTTATACTCTCTCTAACTTAAAGTACCAGCTGAATTTTTAATGATTTAAGTGAAGGGGTGGGGTGAGCGGACAAGCAACCAGGCCTTGGGAAGAATAAATAAGTGCCACTGGGAAGTCCTTAAAATACAGGCACAAGGAGCCTTTTTAGGTCCAAAATATTAGGTTCTGAATATCACCAGATACAGTAATGGTATTGTGTATGTGCAAATGGAGGTGCCACAAATATACTGTCACCAGTTTACCAAGGGACAACACAATTTAACCTAAAAGAAAGAGTGGGGTTTGGGATTAGTGCAGTGGCAGCAAGGGTTCAGTCCTCAGCGGGGGTGGGAGGATGGGGAGATAATCATCAGCTTCACTGTTTATAACACTAACTAAAAAGTTTGACAGCCAGGGAGATTTCTATGAGTTCCAGGCCTGCCACGTCAATTCCACGTCAGTGAGAGCTACACAGTTTTAAAAAACAACAAAAACAAACAACTATTGACAGATGAACCTGCCTAATGTCGTTTTTAAAAGGAATGAATAAAGATAGGGCTTTGCAGTGGGGTTGCATTCTAAGTCACTTACAAGTCCATCGAGGTGAGTTTGTTAAGGAGAAAGGACAGGCCTTAGGTCCAAAATTCTGCTGTGCTATTTTAAAGGACAATAGAGGGGAAAAAAAGCTCCTGAGTGGGAGAGGTCTACCAAAGAGATGGTGATGGGTTGGGCTAGAGTGGTATTTGAGATGGAAAATCATGTTGGAATTGAAAACATATTCTTGTGTTTAAAACCATATATGTATGTGCATAACAACTAGCAAGTATCCAGCTCCAGACTGGTGCCTAACAACTCATCTCTTTCTCTTAAAAAAAAAAAATTTTAAAAAAAAACCTTATTTTTTTGAAATAAAAAAAAGATATGGCTTTATCTAATGCTTCTTGATAAAGGAATCAGGACTTTTATGTTGCAAGCATAGGAAGCAGAGGCACAAGAAGAAGCTAGGATAGTTTTCTCAATAGAAACAGAAGCAGGAGTT